TTGATATAATATCTATAGATTTAACAATGTAAGAGTAGTCATGATCTGCAGAAATTACTAAAAATAAAGAGTACCTATACTGTGATATTTTGAATTTAACGGTGTTATTTACTTAAAATGCATTTGCAATTCAGAACATTTTATGATAATTCTCAATATATTTTTTAGTTATAATGCGCACAAAAAAAGAGTTTTATTTCAATCTAGTCTAATCAATCAGTCTAATTGTCCTCACAATCTAGTCTAACTAATAAACCTAAGAAACAGCGAGCACATCAGGAACAAGATTACCAGAGGAACTCTCCACCTAACAACACAGGGTAAACAGCTAATGTCAGCGCCGCGCAAATTGTAAGATGCGGAAACGAAAGCTGCTAATGTCTGAACTCTGACGAAAATCCGAAATATCCCGGCACAGTGAACGAAGTCCGAGCTTTCATAGCGAAATTGAGGACGTCGAGGTGGAGGAGCGTCGAGGTGGAGGAGAGAGAGAGTCCTGCGGGCGCCGCGCCGGCGTTCCCAGTGTCCCACGGGAAGAATGAGCACGTTAACTTTCGATGTGGAGCAATTTAAGTTTGTAACAAGCGTGCGGTCGCGAGATCGCGGAGCAGAAAGACCGGTAAGGGAGATAGGATAAGGGAGAAAAGGACACGGAAACGAGCGGTAGGAGGAGAGGCTAGGGAAGGACTGACCGTACCGTGTGGCGCAACTTGCCTCATGAATTAATTTCGCGACGGAATCGCTTGTATACTACATTAACTTTTAATTTGCTAAACGCCTCTCAGTCTCGTCGTCCCCGCGCGGTATTTATGTATCGATCCTCTTTCCCACTTCCCTTCCATCTCCCGTCCGTCTCTACCCTCCTTAACTCGCGTTACATTAATGGACCGCCGCGGGAACGTGGTTGTCCCTGACGGCGGGCTTATTGCCTCTTCCGTCTCTGGGAGTACGCCATCCACTTCTTACACCGTAAGGCGTATCTCATCCTTCTTTTCGGGCTTGAAGCCACCCCCGGGCATACTTCTGGATCGTCCGCGTCCTGGGGTTTCCGGAAATTTAACAAGATCCTGAAACGGATCTAGCATTTAGATACCTTTCTTCTCGAGAAAAAGAGAGAACCTGATAAGGCTGACACGAATCTTTGAAAATGTAATCTGTGAATAGACGTTTTATTCTTCATAACTTTGCTTTTTTCACGATAACATAATTACGTACGTTACGTAATTACGTCACCGATCAATTTTTCTATATTCCATGAAAGCATCTAAGTTAAAAGTTTTAGTCTCTCGTCTGCAATCTTCATTTCCAAACAAATTCCATTTACAATCGTGCAAACAAGACTTCTCTTTGAATTATAAGTATCTTTCATTTTTCGTCCTTTGCTGCATCGAGTAATCTGAACGTCTCGCGAGTTTACAGTTGGAATAATACAAACAAAGTGCGAACGAGCGGCTTATTTACCGAGCTAATAAGTCTCGAAAGGGAGTCGGCGCCCTTGGAGCCGTTACGTAAATATCGCAGCAGTATTCCGAGGAAATAGTCGATATTGTAGAAAAGAAGGGTCGGCGATACCGGAGGTAACACGAGGAAGAGACTAGTCTTCGTAATAAAATCACTTGTTGGATTTCCGACGATCCTGCAATCGAGCTTCTGATTTATGTTTTTGAACCGCCTTCGCTTCGGAGCGGAAAAGCAGAAAATATATCGCCGACTTTTTTCCGAGCTATATCGTATCGGATGCGCCGCACGTCACTTTGAAACTTCTGACTATGCATTCTTATAATTTTCGAACGCATGCACAGCATTTTAGTAGTAAATTAAGATTAGTAGTAAAATTTAGTAGTAAAACTTACGCTTATTTCTTCTGCTTCTAATGTTTTGAAACTAAAAGAACTTATAATTTTAATTTAAAAAAAAAAGGAAAAAATCTTTTTGTAATTAATACTGTATTGCATATTACTTCTTAATTTTCTAAACGAAATTCTTGTAATTATCTTCATAACTGTTCTTTTAAGTTATATAAAAGTTCTAGTTACTAATAATGAACAAAGATATATACTAAAATGTATATAAATAATATAAATAATTTAATTAAAGTTTATAGGGGAATGTGTATTTTGAGACGACACACGAAATTGATATTCTGTTCATGTTCTTGAAAATGTGGGCATCACCGTGTTAAGCAGCCCGTCGTGCGCGAAATTTCATCTCGAACTCGGCGTGGCGAACGACGAAATGCGCCGACAAAATCCGAGGAAAGCGCATTATTCTTTTCCCCCCGACCTCGCGAGCGCGCGCGTCCAACTATTCTCAACCATAATTACGCGCATCCGCGACCCGTTCCGTTCGTTCGCACGCTTCGCGCGCGCACTTCCGCCGCCGACAATCTCTACCGCCCTTGCACGCGCGCGTTCACAAGTATAATTAACCCGGGCCAGCCCGTAATTCATCCCCCGTAATCCGTTTTTTTTTTTTTTAAATAACACGTAATATCTTCGCCGAGCCTCCCTTTCGGAATTATCGAGCCCTCCGTTCTTCCCCGCGCAAAGAGGACTCCGTTCCATCCCTGCGAGGCGAAAGATGCAGTGTCGAGATTGGCGAAGAAAAGAAGGATCGAGGGAGCCGGATTAAAACAATTACCGGCCGCAGAATGAGAAAAAGCGAAAGTTATGAAGCACCGATTACCCCTGCAAGTTTTCTCATCTACCATTTTCCTCCATCTTCGACCGGTTTGACTATCCGCAATATACACGTGAAGTTGCTTTAATCTACCCTCGTACGAATTGCCTCTGCCGACGCGTGAGCGCTCGCCCAACCCCCACTATCCTGAGGTCGCTTAGCGCGCAATATAACCGACCGCAATAACATAACTATGATATATACGCACAATTTGGAGTAATTCCGTTAAAACAGAATAATGTCGGTCCGAGAAGGAGGTTAGCGCCGGTGATGCTGGCTGGGAATAGAGGTTCGTTTCGCGTAGCTTCATAGGATACATGAACCTCTGCAATACAGAATCGTCTAGATACGCTATTACGAGAATTGCCAACTGAGATGCATACATTAAAATAAATTCCTAAGTAAAAAAAAAAGTACGATACATTTGAAAAAAATCGATATAAAGTTTTAACAAATTACTCATAACTTTAATACAATTAAATTCGGAATTTTTATGTATTATACACAAAATTCATAAATGTTTGTATTATGTATAATAAATTGCACTTATAATTTGCTAATTTTATTTACATGAGATAATAGATTATTTGTAATATTGATTGTAGATCACGGAAAATGTAATATTTATTTTGTAATCTTGATAAGATGTATCGGTAACACTAAAGCAAAATAATATTTTACTATGCTGTTCACGTAAATATAACAAGAGGATCAACAAGAAAATTGAATTCTCGAAATAAAACACCGTTACTAAAACCAATGACAACCGTTATGGTCGGTGCAGCTTGCACAATACTTGATGAACTGTTATTTCTGAAGTGTACTGTAAACACGCGGAGAAGTGGAGGCAGTTCGCCAATTGAAGTGCAGCCCTCAATTCACGAGAGCCGTATATGAGAACCGTATTTGACGCCTGTCTCTACAGTGGTCGCAAATCAACCATCAGATGCGCAATTCAATTTCCACCTTATATAAAAACATTATATACCCACGTAGTATTTATTATTTCATACATAACAAAATCTATATGAGATAAAATAAAATAAAAAATAAATTACATCGAGTTATCAATTTGTACTCAAGATTATATTGTTAGATTCTTATATGGTTTTTCCTTCTCATTATGGCTTTTCCTTCTTTCTTATTTGAAGTGATAGAATGAAGCTTTTTCGTAATTATATCTCCCTTACCTCCTCAGTACTTGTAGCACAGCCACGATCTAATTATTGACTGAGTTTATACTCATTACTCTTTTAAAATATTACTCAAACATTTATCTCTAAAATCCTTTTCATTTACAAACAGGAATATTCATCTAGTCGACCGTTCCAACCCCTTCGCAACCCCTTTCCGTTTGCCACGAATGCATTTGTATCGTGGATATTCGGACCACCGGTAGGTAATGTTCCGAATAGCTGGAAACAAATTAATAGCGCCGAATCGACACGTCGCGCTCGTTGTCGTTGATTGATGAGGGACCCGGCCGCGTTAAATAACAAATAACCACCGTTCGTTCGTAGCATTGCTACTGCGATGCATTCGGTGCAAGTCGTAAGCCGCGGCGGGTTTCGAGTATGGATTCACCTCTCTTCGTACGGCTAATGAGTTTGGAATCTGGGCTACTCGGCCGCGATTATCGATCACGTGTCAAACTGCCATTTCTAGATCGACGTGGGATTGCGAGACGTCAGTCGATGCGAGTTTCTAGGACTCTCAGTAGATCAAAGTCTGAAATTTTATTTATCTTTTATTGAAAAATATTGAAGTAAATAAAAACTACATTTGACACACACTATATCTTAAAAAATAACGAATAATAACGTCAGCAGTATCTACTAAAGATTTATTATAAAAAAGTATTTTTTTCCCGAAACTTCTGTTTGAAATTTTTAACTTTTTGAAATTTTTTTTTTATGTACCTATTCTTTAAGGTAAATATTTACTTTAAGGAAGAAGTATTTAAGAAATATATATAAGGAATGTTTCCTTTAAAAAAAAGTGCTGAACGAGGGCAAGAAATCTTTTCTACTTTTGCAAAATATGTAAAAAGTAGGTGTATGTAGGAAATTATAATTTTGCTGAAATTTTTTAACACTTTGTCTTTTTTTTGTTATCAAATTTGACAGTTTTTCAACACGCCATGACTGTGTCTCTGAAGAAGACATATCAGGAAGACAGATTTCCTGTTCGTTGCGGTGCGCTCATAGCGCAACATGCGCGTCTTATCCCTGTGTTCTGTGTTTCCACCATAAACCCACCACTGCCACGGTGGTGCCCGTAGTCGAGCGCCGTAATAATACGTAATATCTTTACTGTTTTAGGCAGCCGCTCGCGTTATTCGGATGCCGCGCGTGCCTCGGAAGTTTAATTTCGAATCGTATTATATCCGGTGCGCGCGCTACAGGCATGAGCCACGGAGCAAGAGAGAACCAAAATGGAAAGAGGAAGAGGAAGAGATAGAGGAAGGAGGAAGTGGAGATCTAAGAGGGTACAAAAGAGACGGAGACTCCAGGATAGAACAGCAAAAGGGAAGAGGGGAGGGGGGGGGCGAGGATTCTGAGGAGAAGAGGAAGAAGCGGGGAGGCTGGAGGATTTGCAGTCGGGCAAGCAGTCAGGCGAACAGCCAGCTAGTCGGCCAACCCCCTCGGAGCGCCGAGAAGCGCAAGGGTGAGCAAGAAGACGGATAGATCCTAGGATCGAAGGAAAGACAGAAGAAAGACGGAGAGAAAAGGGGAAAGAGGGAGAAAGGGAGAGGAACAGCCCAGACTGTACGGACCACGTCTGTGGAAATCGTTCACTGAGGAAGGCTGGATAGGGATAAGGGGAATCGGGGAAGGGTTGGCACGGTCGAAGAAGAGAAGGCTGAGATGAGGCCGCAACTGCGGCGGTACCATCGTGGTGCTGCACATCTCGGGAGGAGCGGGGGTTGAGTGCGAGCGTGAAGGGAAGCACTATGAGAGGTAGGTAGAGTAGGGCGGAATGGAGAAAGACACGGGGAAGAAGATGGCCGCGAGGGGGGAGGGTCTGGAAGTCGCTCGAGAAACTTGGGGAATCGCCGAGGTGTTCTCGGTTTTCACTTACAAGGGGCTGAATGTTGGCCGCGGCACGCTCGGGTGGACGGGAGTTTGCCAGTGGTTGGTTGAGAATTGGATTCTCAAGCGTTATCATCGCGGAACAACAACAATCTGACGATCCTACGACGCTCGTTTATGGGACTTTGAGGGTGGGTTGTAGAAGTGTTTGCGAATTGTCGCGCCGATACGAAGGATGCGCTCGCATTTGAGAAGGACGCACGCGCATCTCAGTCCGATGTAATATATCGATTTTTTTTAGCGGACCGAAAGCTTGAAAGATGTTTAGTTTCTTACTATATGTGTAGTAAATTTCATATTTCGATCATTCTACATAAAATGGAATGTTGATCACAACCTTCGGCTGGCAGCAGTTCGAAGTAAAGAATATAAAAGCATCTCTCTCTTTGAAACGAACAGAATCGCTTATATAATGTACGTTCGATGCATTATTGATTACATCTTATCAGGAAGAGAGAAAAGAGGATTCTTACTTTGCGATGTAAAAGAGAGCATGATATAAAATGATGCGGCGGAAACAATAAGAACGATCGAAAACGCGGAGGCTGGAATAATGCCGAAGTTCGCAGCGCGTATATAATAGAAAATAGACGAGGAGATCTCTTGCATGTCGAATCTAGCGACAACATTTTATTAATTATTATTAATGTCCGGACATCTCGTGACATGTCAGGAAAAACAATACGAGGTACGAGACGTTTATGATAGCGCAAGAAACGCCAGCGGGGTTTAATGCATGCACTCCTGCAGAAATGTTTAACGTAAGAGCGACAAGCAACGCGATTAATGACTATAGTTGAGAAGAGGATGCCGTTATTAGAGGAGTTTCTCTTGTACTTGTAACGACTGAAAACGATATTCCACTGTTGCGTGCTTTGACTGTCATGCGTGCTGAGACGACATCATGCAAAGACGTTATTAATAATTTGCCTTTGATAAGAGTAAAGTCTTGGTGTTTAGTAAAAACAGTTGACGCGATGAATCTTGAATATTATATATATGTAAACAAGTAAAAATTAATATTAAAAACATATTCATATGTACACTAATTGTACACAGACATTTTTTGTTTCTTTTTTAAAAACATTGTGTATTATTTATAGATATTATATTTATAATATAATAATAAATACAATATCTATATTATAAATAATATATTGATTAGTATAACATAATAAATTATAGAATTAACATATTAAATATTCTGTAAAAATTAAAGCTTATTACGTTATATATATGAAATTTCACCGGTGGATTATTATTTTATGTTTCTCTTTTTATTTGTAAAAAACAATTCCTTTTTCAGAAATGAAAAATTTGATACAACCGGCAACAACAAATTTATTTTACTGTTAATTTACAATAAAAGAATGGGTAGTTATAATTGTTATTCCTGATAGTCAATATTATATTTACGCTCGTGTAAATTATTTTATTAAAATTTCGTATAATCAATAAAAAACAGTAATCGCTGTTTTGTTGCCGTTTTGTTTATTGAAAATAGTTAAAACGCTAAATAGTTTAAATAGTTTATTTGTATAGCAGGATTTACGAATTTGTGTGTAATTTACAAAATAGATTTATAATAAAATAAACATTTTTATAAATATATATATAAATGCTAAAGATTTTTTATGAATATATAACAGGATATATATATTCAAGAAAGGTTATAGCAGTCCGACACACATACAATGTGAAAGAACTCGCTGCACAACTACAGTAAATCTACGGAAGTCTCGCAAAATTATAACGAGAAAGATAACGGTCAACAGCGCGTTACAACGAATCTCCAACAAGAATGATAAATTGGGAGGTCGAAATCATAGTTTTATCCTAAGACAGGTTAATGTAAATGAAAGGACGCTTCGCGAACAACAGAGTTCATGGAATATATGAAAGAGGAAAGTAAGGAGTGGTTTCCTTTTGATTCACTTTGCACTACGAAATAATGAATCTAGTATCGGAAAAAGGATTTTCCTTGGCCGATGAAATTTCGACGATATTCGCAAACTTGAGAATATCAAAGCGGTTGTATCGTTAAACGATGAAATTTATTTTATGTTGTACATTTTAGTATATAATATTTACGATTTTCTTGGTAAAGTTAATGTTCATTGTTACAAGATAACTGCGTCGAATATCTTCATTTTCTACAGCGTCTTGCGGAAGGATTTCTGCAGACCGTATCGTAACATTTTCGCCCGACTTATGTCTTAATTAGCGCTCAGTTTCCGAGGTAGTGCGATTCCACTAAACGGCGGCGGTGCAGCCAATCGACTTCCAAAGGACTCAATAACGAAACCATACCAAACACCTCCCGCGCAACTTATCCAATCCCTTGAATTAGCGCAATAAAAGTGAAATATGGGATAAAAGGGCAGGGACGCTAATAGACAATTTGGAAAGTATTCTCGAGGATGACACGCGACAAGACGACATTTGAATAATCTCACGAAGAGAAAGGGAGAACGACAAAGGATAAGAGGACGAAGAGGCCGAGATAGAGGGAAATTGAGGGCGAGATGAGGGTGAAAAGGAGGGGGGAAACGCAATATGCCTCGACTGAAAATTGGGCGGCCGGGTTCACATCCCCGGATATGTCTAGCAGATAGTTTGTCCTTGACTGCTTAATTAATTTTACTCCCGCGCTCAGAAACGGACGGGGAATCGTGCTCTACGTACGTCTTGTTTGAAGACCCGACCCATAAATTTGTAGCCCGAGTGCTTCGTGCCGCTGACAACGTAAATTCCGGCTCTCGTGCAAAATTGCGAAATTTGACTTCCGCCCTGACTTCGTGACATGTCTTCGTTTGTACGAGACGCGACTTTGGACGACCGAATATTGAGATAATGCAGTGACCACTTTTTCAACACAAGCAGTGCACTTGGGATATAAATACGTATTACATTGTTACTTAGCAAATAGGCTAATTGCAAAAATAGTAATGCAAATTGATTTCCATGGATATTTTGATTGTTTTTGAAATTAAATTATTCTATTCGCTAAAAAATCACTTTTTTTCTTTGAAACGCTATACTACATATTCCGAAGATTTTTTCTCGTTGAATACTGTTAATGAAATTTGCATAGCATGTCAGGATTTTGAGTAAAATGAAGTAAAATGAGCAACAAATTTTTGGCCATTTCACCATATTTTATTTAAAATCCTGACGTGCTACGCAAATTCTTGCAACAGCATCATGTTCAGCGCAATAAAAATTTCGGAGTATGTATTATGGCACTCCGGAGAGAATTTGTTGAGTTCTGTTATAATCGGCTCGATTTGTCTCCAATCATTAATGTAGAAACCGAGGTGTTATTTAGAAGGAGTCATATCTAATGTAATACCTACACATAAAGATTTTTTAATATATAATCTTAATTTTTTATTATCTCAATTACTTTTCATAGACATCCATCTTAAAAATTAATATTATTCAATTTTTCTTAATTAGTCGCTTTATATAAAGAGATTTCGCAGGAAGAAAGGAAATAAGAAAGAAAGTATTATGGTCTTCTTGGAAGTTATATTAATGCAGACATAAATAGATAAAATGTTAGTAATATTTATAGAATTATCAGAGTATATTTTATTTTTGTAATAATTTTCCTTATAACGTTTGAATGATATCGACAGTCGCGTCGAAAATTGTGACGGCATAATTCATCTGAAGAAGCTAAAAGCTTTGCCAATAGCAATCAAATTCGATCAACGTTCTTATCAATTATAACTATATAAGTCATAGCATATTGTTTTTATTTTTGAATATATAACATAACACGACCAATAATTAATCATAATGTAATTGAAAATCTTGAACAAGATTTATAATCGTTCTATTCTGAGCATAAGTAATAAAATCAGACAAAAAGGACTATAATTCGATTTAAATCAATTTCGCGTAAAAATAAAAACTTTGCATATTTCGCTATACATATAATTCACATTTATCTTATTCTTATACGTTCAAGTTTTACATATTTATTTATAACATACAAAGTTGTACAAATATTTGCGGTTTTTTTGTTTCTATTTCTTCCAAAATTTCAGAAATTACTTATAAGTTGAATTATAAGTACTTGTACTTAAAGTTGGATACACTTAGAACTCATAAGGTAAATGTAGCAGTTAGTAGATATGAACCAATTGTTAGACAAAATGATAAAACATTTAAATATTAAGATTTTAATGATATATATGATTTTAAATAAATCATTACTAAATTTTTATAAACAACAAATTTATTTAAAATTGTACGTATCATTAAAAAATTTTGTATAACTTCGTCCAACGAATTGTCATGTCCACTAACTGTCCACTAGTTGATACATTTCCCTTATTTCTTGAAATAAATTCTTGCATGTGTGAGAAAGTAAGAAATGCATACATGTATTTATTACGGCGAGCAGAGAAGTAATCATGATTGTCATGAATAACGTGCCCAGAAATTACACAAAACCGCCGGCGAAATTGACTCGCGAATTAGATAATTGACGCGATAGTTAGTTAATTGTTAATATGATCGCGCGCTGCAGTACACCATACATCGTCTAGCGGTATGTTACTCGCGTGTTTACTCGCGTATTACATGCCGTCTGTCGTTACTTCGCTATTCTTGAC